AATGTGTGAGTTTATGTTCATATATCCAGTTAGTTAACAATAAATATATTGAAGCCAAGTTGGAAATAAGCAGAATTATTCTGAAAACACATACAAAGACATAACATTTGTTTTGTTCTTTTTGAAATTATGTTACCTTCAATTCCAAAACCAGGGTAAAGACAATCTAATGGAGAGGTGAAATAGCTCAGATGTATCCCTCATCCATTTGACCTTGATTTAAAAAAAAAAAGCTGCAAGAAAAAACAAAAAAAATGTTTAATAATTTTCAGCTAAATAATTTCCTACATAAATTAAATATCTATGTAGCATTAAACATTTTTTTGCACATTCTTTGCTGTAAAGCCCTTTAACTCCTAAAGCACCAATCCAATGTTACGTGGTTTCCTCATTGGAAGTTTAAGAGTTTTATCAAAAAATATATGAAAAAAACAAACAATCAAAAAACCCTTCAGTATCCTGTTAGAGCACCATTGCATGTTTAAAAGAAAAATACTTAAAAGTTCTAACAGTAAAGTATGTGTACCATCTTTTCAAGCTATTGAGTATCTGCCAAGTATTTTAATTTCACGTGAAGGCGAGATGATATGAAGCATTGATGCTCTGGCTTTGCATTACAAAGCTTTTAACACTAAGATGTCTAACTGAATAAAAAAAAGTTTGATAAGCTAAGACACCAAGGAAATGTGATATGTTGAAAAAGCAGTCTATTGATTGCCACATCACTCAAACACTATGTATACTATTTGTGCACCACACTGCTACAAAATAAACACAACTATGGCTCAAACATCTCAAATTGTTGCCCTAGCTCCTATCCCCTCTCATTTTATTTGCTCAACAGCAAAAACACTATCCTCAGTAGGAAAGAACCTCTGTACTGCTGTGCTGAGTCCGGAAAGCTTTTGGCATTTTGGGTGTCATCACAAGGCAAACATGCACTTGATGACGTTGGTCAAATTGGGACTACAGCCTTCTGGACAAGAACTACAAAAAACAAAAGTTACACAAATGAGAAAACAGATAAAGTTCTCAATTATAAAACTATTTGCCTGTCTCACACAAAGCACATGTAACAAAATGATGAACTTTTGGTTAACTATATGGTTTGTCACATAAGGATTGTGGTCAACCACATAGTTCCTAGCGCCATCTTGGAATGTCCGGAGGTCCTTATCCTAAACTTCCTGGTCCCTGCTCCTTGATAACTGCCAGCACTATTATGAAAGCACCGAGAGTGGAAGCACTTTTGCTATGACTTATGTGTCCTTACCGATTTGACGTATTTGGATTGAGCCTCAGATTTATTCTAGTGCCATATGTTGTATGTAACGATGGAGATTCAATCAATTCACCATTTCAAATGGTTGAAACCGAAAGTGATGACGTGACAGTTTCTGATTAAGTCAGTGGACAATGATCTTACCACGTGGGACATCATATATAAACCATAACCAGACAGTTAATTCATCTTTGAATATAGAAAACATTAAAGCAGTTTGGTGAGGCACCCCATCCTCATGAGGATTAGCTCTGTGTTATACACCCTCGATTCCAATGCACTATTTAGATGTGCACCAAGTGCAACACATACTTTCAAAATGTGGCAACCTTGTTCCATAAAATTCTCTTCATTCCAAAGTATCTAAATCTTCTTTAAAGGATTTTTTCTGGGTGCCTGCATAAGATAGGAAACAGAGTGTATGTAGCTTTACTATTAAGGTTTTTCCTACGGACGATTACACAACTTTTTGACTTTAAAGCATTGTTTGAGTTAGTAGAGCGGCTATTTAGACTCAGTAAGCGACACATCCTAATTAACATATCCACCAAGCTGTCAGCACGATGTCCCTGTTTTTTTTCAAAAAGCTGGAAATTTGTTAAACCCAAGAAAAAAGTAGAAAAACAATAATCTGTAGTGACAACAGTGTCGATGTTTTTTTTGTTGTTTTTTTTATATTAAAAAGAGGAAAGCTACAGTAAGGAATATTATTATAAAGATACTGTCTAGTTTAAATAGATAATGTCTTTTTAATATGCAAAAATGTTTCATAAAAGCAGTTATTCTTCCTTATTTAATAAAGACCTTTTTGATTATATTAGAAATGATCTTTAAGCTTTGTGATCTGAAAGAAAGTCTTCAAGAAATTATATATATATATATATATATATATACATAAAAAAAAAGATGAGATTTGCACTCACAGGCCAATTTATTGGGTACATCTGTTCAGTAGCTTCTTGACTCCAATTAACCAAAAAAAAAGGCAGCAAATCATCGTATTTACACACAAACAGGGAAATTTATAGATGTTTAAACTTAGATTAGATTGCCTGGTCTGACTATATTGTAAACTGAAAATCCAGTGTGATTTTCATGCAAACCTCTTAGATTTGTGGATAATGGTCAGAAAAAGAGAAAATATTTAGCAAATGGCAGATATGTTTGTTCTTTGTTGTTTCAGAAACGACTGAGAAGATTGATTTAAGATGTTTAAAAATAAAATGGTAGCTAATATAAACTTGTACAAAAGTAAATGGAATCCCGACTAAGTTCTCTCAAATAAAACTAAAAAGCAGCAAAGTTTAAAAGCACCCTATCCTATTTAAATTGGCCAAAAAAAAAAACAACATAAAAGCATAATTCTGGGATGACTCTTAAGTTAAGCAGCAGTACCCAAATTGGGAAAAAAAAATTTTATCCTATAGACTGCTGCTATTTTTTTTCCTCAAATTTTGTTCTGTAAAACAAGACTTTTTACATTAGTCTTTGAAACTAGTTGAAAGTGCTTTGGAAGTCAAATTTCTTGTCTGCACAAACATGTATACCTCCATATGATTAGAAGCTCCTTATTATTAAAACACACAAAAACATTTTTGGTAATCTTGGATTTTTAGAGTCAGAGACTTAAAAGTAAGTCCTGCGAATCTGCTCAAAAAACAAAAACAAAAAAACAATGGTTAGGGTAAAGAAGAAAGGCAAATATTTTGCCAAAACAAACAGAAAAAGGTTAATAAGTAAAAAAATATATATTTCAGCATTCTGACTGATGTTAACTGCACCACTATCAAGCATCCTGAAAGGACAGCAAAAATAAATGTTTTAAGGTGTTCTTGATATCACATTGTAATACCAACTTTTCCATCTGAGGTATTTACAGAGCATTTTTGAATATTAACTGGGAAATAACGGCACCATTTCTCATAGATTTGAGAGAACAAACAAATGTAAATATAATAAAACTAAATAATTTGGTTAACTTTACAACATTCAGGTGATTTAATTAAAATAAAATTATTTTAAGAAATTCTAAGCCATGTTAAGAAAAAAAACAGGCCAGATCAATTTCTAAACTTTTTTTTCTTTCTTTGGTAAGAAGAATGGTAGCTCATGAAAAATCCCTACTTTAAAAAAAATAACCTTAGTAACGAAGACATCAAGTTTGAGAAAAAAAAAACAGCAGCAAAATTAACACTTCAAATATGATCTATTTTCCAGCCTTACAGATGCACCTTGAGCAGATATAATTAGCTAAGACTGCTGCAGTTGTTCTCCATCTATTAAGCATCCAATGGAGGAGCTACTGTAAACCTTTAAGCAAACACTTTGCCATCTCAAAACAGTTTGCTTAAACAAAAGATACCAGACTATGATGTGTTGCCTCAGCAACAGCATGGCACAAACATCCACCAGACAAAACCACCCAGCAAAGAATGAAAACCAAATGCTTTTGTTGGTGCTCTTATTTTCAGATACAAACAGCAGATGAGGACAAAAAAAAAAGAAGAAAATTCAAAACTTAAGAATCAATGCTTGATTTTTGTCAATGGTTGTTTTAATTGTTTGAGCACTAAAATGTTTTGAGGGGAGCCAGACACACTGAAGGATGGCAAAGTGCTGATTCAAGTTCACCACAAGTTTTTCTTACAGTTCTCGTCCAACAAATGATGTTGTCAACAAGAATAAAACTTATATTGCATGAACTTGATTTCTCAGGCAAAAGGTCTTACTCCTTATGGTACAGACATAAAATAAACCAATCAGAAATTAAGGGCCTTCCATAAACATGTCAGGCATTTTATTGCTTAAAGGGACCACAAAGAAAACCTCAGTACCTCATTCAAAAATTCAAGACTGATTTTTATAAATACAGCAGCAATCGTTATGAAAAAAAAAATTAAATTGGAGTCAGACTTACAAACGGGAACATCTTTTGGCTATTTTGCATAAACTATTTAGCTTTGTAATTTGATTAAAACAATATTCCCTTTGGGTCATATCAACCTTTATTTCCACTTTTCTTAGTTCAGAGACTATGGAAGCTACCTACGACATGTGAGCGCACTATTTAAAGTCTATTTCAGGGATAAAAAGGGGAGTTGGTATCAATAAAATCAAAGTGAACCAGCACTTTTTTCACTTTCCTACTATCTGTTTCTCAATCTGTGGTATATTTGGTGTGTGAATACTCGGAATGAGGATGGGTATGAGGAGTCCTAAAGGAAACCAGCTTTATTTTCATCTCTCAACTTTAGAATATGATGTAGGCCATCTACTCCCGATCAGGCGGACAGATCTTTGACTCTCTTGGTTTTTCAGAAAAGATGGAGTAATATTTAAATCTCGTGGAACTCGCCGTGGTGCAGTTGAGATATTTGGTTTGACTTTAGTTTGTGGAGCTGGGGTTGTGATGTGTTTTGCAGCTTTGCCTTGCACAGTGGATCCTTTTCCTGAGCTTTGCTTGCCACTACGAGTAGCGTTGGCCATCAATGTCTCCAGTAACTGAGATGCTGATCCGAAGCGGACATGTCCCTCTGTCCCAGTTGCCTCAGAGAACGGAGACAAACTTCCAGTGCGTTTACTGCATGACTCGCAGCACAGTTTGTTGTAGCCTGGGATAGAACAGTATCTTGCTAAAACCTCCATTTGGCAGAAGATTGATTTGTCTCCACTACATGGCTCATCTGAAAGTCAAACAGAGGGAATACAACGATTATTCAGTAATAGGACTGTAGCAGGAAAAGCACTTTACAGTAAAGCATAAAGGTGCTGCTTTTGTTCAGTGGGTTTTGGTCGTATATAATTAGCTGCACATTCAGAAAAAAAAAAAAACAGAACTCTACTGGGAAAAGGACTGTAACATGATTCCTTTTAAATCAATACAAATGAATTCCAGGAAAGTCCTTTATTGGCTCAGGTCCATGCGCCACTCATTACTCTTTTGTAACTTTAAAATATAAATGATGTTTGAAACCTCTTAGGAAGCATTTAAAGCTGACGGAAAACAGCTATCATGGTAACAGAGCTTTTCAGACCTACAGAAGTAAAATGTGAGAAGGTCTTTTGGCTATAAATCCTTCATGTACGACTAATGTGGTAATGCATTACAGAAGACTATTATGAATTAATATATCAAATCTCTTATTTCTCATTGTAATTAACATAGTACAGACTAAAAAATAGACAAAATTAAGATGATTTTATAATAAGATTATAGAATATTCAATGTGGTTGTAATTGTGACAATGGCGATAAAGAGTAATCTGTGGTACAAAATTATATCCATGCACACAAATACCATCACCTGGGCATGTCAATATTTATGGAAATCATTCGTTGGTCTGAAGAGCCCAGTGAATTCAAGTGTGGTAATGTCAGTGGATTATACATTTTATAAAATCAAAATGAAGACATTTTCTCATAACAAAATACTTCACAGTAAAATGTTAGTGTTGTCATAATAAAGGAGATTTGATTCACAATGACAATAATTCAACCACTAAGTAATAGAGTGTGAAAAACTATAGAGGGCTCAGCAGATGCTGAGATGCTTAGTGGTGATGAGTTGGTAACTCTGTGGAGATTCAACCACCACAGACCTCTAAACTCTATGAAGCATTTTGGTTTTCTTAAAAACTTTGCACAGACAACTTAATCAAGTTGAATTTAAGCCTTACATCTCTAATCCAATGCAAAACATCAACTGCAGAGGTGTGAAGCATGCCACAACTTGACACAGGAAAGGTAGAGATGTGTTCTCTAGAGCAGTGTTTTTCAATTCTGGTCCTCAAGGCACCCTACCCTGCATGTTGATGTTTCTGAGGTTCAGCAAACCTGATTCAGATGATTGCAGTTCAGCAAAGCCTGATAATCTGCTATCAATTGGTAACAGGTGTGTGAAAGCTGAGAAACATCTAAAACATGCAGGGCAGGGTGCCTCGAGGACCAGGATTGAAAAACATTGCTCTAGAATGATGAATAGTTCATTGCTCTCTGGAAATCCTGTGCATAAGTCAGGGTTTTGTGTCTGTTTTTTCACGTAATGAAAAGATCTGTGTAAAGGGTATTAAGGTTTTTGAATTTTTATCAGGAGCATTTACCTATTTTACTTGTTCCTTTAACACCAGCATTGCCTCTTAAAATGTACGGGTTGCATCTGTAATGTACAGGTTTTTCAGCAATCTCTAATTTGCAACCCTGTCCCTGGGTGGGCTTCAGGGGTTAAGTAAGACTTAAAAGCATGGGGATTTTAAATATCACAACCACTAAAGTAGAACGTAAACTTTTAGATACAACATCAGAGTAAAAGGTATGACAGCTTGAACCCACAGGCATATGCTGCACAAACATACTAACACAAACACGTGAAAGGTACACACACCCGTACATTAACCTGAAAAGCATGTTTGACCAACACTTGCTCTGCATTTTCCAACCAAACAATTTCGACTGACCACTCAAGTCCTAGATCCATGGGTTTTGTATATTTAAACATTCCAAGATGATTTCAGGTGCGTAACTGTTTACACATTAAAAACCTACAGTAGCTTTATAAAAGAAAAGTTAAAGTTGCCAAAACTTAAACAATTACTTTTCTGTAGAATGAGACAGTAGTGCCATCAAATAGGATTCTGATCTATTATTACCGTAAAAGACCTTTGCACAACGCAAAGATCCAAAGCACACTGAAACATGACTGGTCTGCACAGAATCTTGAAGTCAACAACAGATGGATGATTTGCATCATCCCATTGAATTTTTTTCAGTTAAAAAATAGTTACTCCATATCAGCTTCTTAAAAACAATTAAATACTAACATGAAGCACTATTTTAAACAGCTCTTCGAAATGAACCAATTGATAATACCTTCCTCTCTTTGACACACCATCTTAATTTATGATATTGGAACTTTAAGGTAACGCACCATTCATCCTGCCTTTAATTTATTTGCCCCTGCCCTCTTAGCCTTTATAGATGCAGTTGCTGTGACTGATCCAAATATATTCAAAAGATATTAGTGACTTTAATAACTTTTCTTTCGATAAAAATTGAAAGAGTTATTCTATTTCCGTTACATTTTTAAAAATAACCTACTAAACACGCATACTTACCATTGCATGGTCCAGCTTTGCATGGCCTCACTGCCTCGGGTTTATCCCCATAGCATTGATCTCCGATCCGGCAGGTTACCATACGCCTTTCCATACCCTCACCGCATGTCACAGAGCACTTGGAAAGGAAGAGAAACGGTGAATCCCATCAACAACAGAGCAGAAATTAGTGGAGGAAGGTCATACAAGTGGCAGCCAATGTCTTGGTAATTGGCCAGGATAACAAGCTGACTTCAAGTTCGATATCCACCTGAAAGCTAAATGCCCCACAACATTGTTGTTTTTTTTTTACTCCATCCCCCTTTGTTAAACCGGATTTATGTGAGACTGCACCGTGAAATCTGTAGGGAATTGAATCAACATTTTATCTGCTGGGTAACAGGAAGCTGTGGACTTTTGATTTTCCCTTCAACAGATTTACTTTATGATGCAAGTTCCCATTGACTATATTGATTTTATGAACTTAGTTAGGAAATTGCTGTGAAGATGGGGGCTTGATCTATTCTGTAAGTTTCTATTAGAAACAATGGCAATTACTACGTAATTACTTAGAACATTCAAAAATGAATGCAATGCTATATTTAATAGTATGTAAAGTTTTGTTTATTTTGAGGCATCTAATAAATGATAAAGAACTTAAAAGATTTAGTCCTGCGGTTACAATAAGGTAGATTTATGTTATAAGCCGTTTCTGAGCATCAGTCATAAAATTATTTTATCACTAATTTCAATACATAAATATGACACAATTTATATGTGTAAATCATGTCACCCACACACTGATCATATTAGCAGCTGAATTTAGTAACAGCAGCGTGTCGTTAAATTGCTGGATGTTCATTTCAGTTTGTTGCTGGCTGCCTGTTACACTCATATCTCCAGCTGGCGTTGATGGAAATATGAGCTAATGTCTGAAATCTGTGTCCTCCTGGATCAAACGCAGGGTGCAGTAATCTAAATGCTGCCATTGAAAACATCAAGGGTAAGAAAAAAACAAAACACCAAGTAAGTAGGGTCTCTTTCATATCCCTTTAGGAAAAACATATTTATTTCCGTAATGTTCTGCCTTTATGGTGCAATCTTTTGCAATTAAATCACGAGAAAAAAAGAAGACAACATTGCAAAATTAATTTTGTTTGATTACTTCTCAGTAAGTCTACTGTGAAGCACAATCCAGTGGAACAAATTAGGACGCGCAATCAAAGCTTCCAAACATGTCTTGCCCTTGCTCTCCTTTTGGTTGCTTTGCTCAGGCACTGCCTTAATAGATCACCTCTTCAACTGTTACACCAACCATCTGCATGTCCTCTTCCAAAAAGTACATTAATCTCCCGCGCAGTCGTCCTCTTTTCCTTCTGCTAGCAGCTCTATCTCCAACATCGTTTATCCATAGTATCCACCAATTGTTCACATAACATGTCCAACCCACCTCAGCCTTGCCTCTTGGACGTTATCTGCATGCTGTCAACCATAAGCTGATCCTGAGATCTGATCCTCTCAAGTTTAACATCACAATGTAAACAAGAAGGGCTACAGAGCTGAAGCTCGTAATCCCATTGATAACCTAATTCAATCTATGACTGACTGCCCACCCCACCAACAATTTCCATATATTTCCAGTACTATCCTTACATGACATGAGATTTTGTCTCTATAAAACCAAATAATATGCTTTCAAGGTCAAGATAGACCAACTGTGAGCCATAGAGATGTAAGTGTCATGATTACCATAATATATAATCCACCAGAAATTCTGTGTGGCATCAGGGGGTGCATGAGGAATATGAGACCATTGTCCGCTATATTAGGGATACTCACCAGGAAAAAATCAGTCCAAACCTTGCTAAACAATACATATACCATATCTGTGTAACAGATGAAGGCTCCACTTAGTGATGGAAACATTTTCAATCCCGACAGCAACCAGTTAGAACACTAAGCTACTGGATGAAAGTGTAGTTTTTGTAGCTGACCAGATACCCTCCATGGTGAGATATGAATAAATAAATAAAAATAAGAGGTGAGCTCTCACCTCTGTTGTCACAAAGCATTCTGGGATATATCTGCCTCTTCTGAGGCCTCTCTTTTCTTCTTATACACTTTGTAGACACTTTTTCTCTAACGACCCTCGGCCATTTTCAAAAAGAACCGTGGTGAGAAAGGTGAGCTTCAATGACTGTCTGAAACCGTAGCTCACCACAGATATACACCTGAAAGTGCGCATGCTCAGAAAAAGATAGCTAACTGGACGAGTACGTAGGATGGCCTTACATAAACATATCACCAGAATGAGTGGAAATTAGGAGGACCACTTATTAAGATGATCCAGCCGGAAAAAAGATCGTCATCTTTACTTTTAAGTTTTGTTATAAAACAAATAAAACTTGGAATCTGAAATTCACTGTTATTGATGGTGAAGCAAATTGGCACTCAAACTTCATACAGCAATGAATAATATAGATAATAACTTTATCTCCCCCCATATGGTGAAATAAATTGTTTTAGTGGTTAAATTGTTAACAGTGTGCCTTTTGTGATTCAGTTTTCAGGAGGATAAATGAATATGAAAAATATTGAATGATCAATAGCATAAAATTAGAAAGTAATGAAATGCAGAGCAATAGAAGTACAGAGGAAAATTACATCTATCTGCTCGCAATTACTGTACAAAGTCCACCTCTTCACCTTGATCAATTTTCCTTTCCCCACCCTATATCCTCCTCTCAGAGCTGTGTGAATATGGGTGCTGCTCCTCTCTCCAGTTTGTTTTCCTCTACCTTTGCTCTTCCATATTATGGTTGTATTACAGTACACACAAAGGTAAAAACATGATATTGTCTACTGGTGGCGAAACGTCTTCAAATCTTGAAAACCAAGTCCAGTGGATATTTTTTGAATTTTTACGGGATATTGTCTACAGTGTAGTGCACTTAAACGAAGAATAAATGAATAGTCTGTTTAGTAAACACATTCTCAAATGCAAATAACCCTGAGATTATTAATTTTTTGTTCAAAAATATGGATGCTATTGGACAATTTAACTTTGCCAAATTTCCTTGTTGTGACATTTTTTAATCCAGTCTAAATTATATATCCAGGTAAGGTCTTTACATTGATTACTTCTGTAGTTTTGTTTATGTTCTTTCTTGTATCAAGTAAACGCAACTGTTAGAAGATAGTGTCAGAATACACCACAAGAAACTAAGATAGGAATATCAGCCAGCCCTTCGCTAACTGTAGCACCTCAATTTTTCTCAGAAAGCATTCTTAAGCCCAAGCATTAGCCCAGTTTTAGATCTATTAAATTATTTTTCAGGTCAGTATTCCATACGTGTGTATGTATGCTCCATGTGGGCTGCCCTTTTCAAAAACTCACTTATGTAACATTAGACGGTTGGATCTATTACTGAAAAGGTCTTAAGACGCAGAGCACAGCTTTACGGCAAACCGAGCTTCCATTAAACATCTATCGATCCTTAAAGTTGTTGTTTGGCAACAAAACAAATAGATTAGCTTTGATTTTCAGTGCTCTGATGGAGGTTTTAAATCTATAGGGGGGAATGAGGCTTTGTCTTTACAAGTAACTCCATGACTATCTGCTAAATTTTACAGACCAGCAGTATCAACAACAGCGTTCAGGGGGACTAAACCTGGAAGTTCCCAAGGGCTAAAAGTTACACAGCATTATTTTAATACCAAACTAAAAATCCGCAGACTCCAAGAGAAACCCTTCTGTACGCCGTCTGCATTTATTTCAAGCCTTTTTCAGTATTTGGTATCTTTCAAATACATGTCCAAACCGAAAAAACGGAGGAATAACACCATTTATTATTGAGGCAGTTTAGCACAGAATGGCTTTCAAGGAAAGAGTTAAGAATAAAATGAAGATGACACATGTCAGTTCTCCAGCCCCTTACTATACAGTAATAAGTTTAATAAGACGAAAGACAAACTCTATCTAATGTGGTGCTCTGAGACTTTCTCCACCATTGCATCATTGTCAATTTTTAGAAATTTTTTTCTGCACTCAAAATTAAACTTAGAAGTTCCTTATAATAGATAAATTGTCTACTACGTAATTATGGAGAGTTAGTGAATATTTTGCTTTTTTAATAAACTGTATTAGCCTATCAGTTTTTGAAGTTCTTTAAACTTACTGCTCTACCCTCCAGAAGAACTTTATGATTTTTATCTGTGATGGTTAAAATAATAGAAATAATACTTGACTAGACTAGACTTGGCCTCAATTTTTTTTTTCAAATACATAATTCTTTTCTAAGGCTTTCTGTGAATCTTCACCAGGGATGCCAAAATTATTAGATTATTGAGTTTTTAAATCTTTAAATCTTTTTCAATCTTTTTCAGGACTCACTTTGTGGAATGGAAACAAGTTATTTTGAAAAGGAGATCTGAAAACATCAAATTAAATATTACACAAGCTTTATAATTCACTTTAGTAGCTGATCATGTCGAGTTCAATAGCCCTGCTGTATAATTGATGCTACGACCACTGTTTGAACTACATCATAAATCATTTATATTTTACCACTGATGTTAGCTGAGACCAAGGGCTGGGCTTTCTTTAAGCAGTAACATTCTCTGGTCAAAGAGCTTATGGAGTACCTGCGACCAGCTTCCAGTCCTCCACTGGGCAGGACACGGGACTCGATTACAAGGTCTTCGGTTCTCTGGCTTCTCCCCAGTGCAGTATTTGCTGTGGATGGAGCGGTTGGTGCCATCGTGGAGGGACTGTACGCAGCGAACTGTCCGGATCTGAAAACCCAGGGAGCCGCAGGTTTTGGTACAATGCTCCCAATCTTCGGAGATCCATCTAGATAAGTGAACATAATCAGAAAATTGAGATATCAAAGCACGTACAGTTTATGATGCAATTAGATTAAAAGACAATTGAGAACATATTTTGTTTTTAAGCAAACCTATTTTCCAAGATTACATCCATCATGGACTACACATTCCAGCCCCTGCACCAGACTGTAGAGGAGTTAAGCAGCTCATTTAGTGAAACTCTTACACCCTATTTGTAAAAAGGAGTGCTACCGCAGGTCATTCATCCCTGCTGCAAGCAGACTCAACAATGCTACACAATAACTGCAATAACTTGAGCAATAACTAATGTGCAATCACTATTTAATACCCTGTGCAAGAACCTGTTCATATTTAATACCCAGTGCAATTACTATACATAAATAGCTATTTATATAAATACCCATTTAATACCCTGTGTAATAATCCTGTCAAATAAGAGACCTCACTTCTTATGTGTATATGTGTGTGT